CAATATTCAGCTCCTGGGGGTGAAATGCATTGTAAATAGGCTCATGTGTAATATCTTGTTCCTGATCTCTCTTGAATACTTTATATTGTCTTGTTTTAGGTATTTTTGAGTAGTTTTTCAGAGATCCTCATGGCTGACTGGTATTTCCCTCATTGCGGGATTAAATATGGGAGTAATATTCTTGAGGTATTTTCCCTCATTGCGGGAGTAATATTCTTGTCCTTGATTTCTATATTTTGTCTTGTTCTTAGGTATTTTGATTTGTTCTCAGGGATTAATTGTGGGAGGATCCTTCTTGTTCTTGATTGTCTCTTAAATACTATATTCAGTTTGGTTTTAGGTACTTTTGGAATTTGTTTCTCAAGATATGTTTGTTCTTTCTTCTTATGGTATTTTGTTGCTGCTCTCTATTGCTGCTGGAACACAGGAATTTCCCCATTGTCAATAAAGTCCTACCTACATAAATGTTCATTATTTTTCTTGTCTTAGCTTTTCTTATCTTCATTTTGCAGAAAATTAGTTTTCAGATTTAACTACAGCCAGTGTGTCCCTCTTTTCCTTACACTGATTAGTGGCTGAAAAAATAAGAGTGTATTTAAAGAGTATAAAACAAAGAAATGTTAGTATTAAGCCATACTGTACATTTTTACTGTATTCTCTCTAGGTTTTGCTCGTTCATTTGGCATGCGGCTGACTAATGGCGAGCGGCGAGAGTGGATCAAGCCAATCATGTTCAGTGGAGGTCTTGGTTCTATTGAAGATGCACATGTGAAGAAGAAAGAGGCAAACACTGGTAACATTGTAACTGTGTGTGTGTGTGTGAGAGAGAGAGAGAGAGAGAGAGTGTGTGAGTGAAATGAGTTTGATCAGTGTAGAAGCTGTCTATTGTTCACTGACTCACACAGTGTCCCTCTGCTCCTCTTCTGTTCTTGTTGACCAGGAATGGAAGTGGTGAAGATTGGAGGGCCAGTGTATAGGATTGGTGTAGGTGGAGGAGCAGCCTCTTCTGTACAAGTATGTGCACTATATAAAATCACAAAATCACATTGAAACTACCAGTGACCCCACCTGATGCAGCTGTTTCGGTGTTTTGGAATATGTTTTGGGTTGTAGGTTCAAGGGGACAACTCCAGTGACAGGGATCTGGGTGCAGTGCAGAGGGGAGATGCTGAGATGGAGCAAAAGATGAATCGCGCTCTCAGGGCGTGTCTGGAAAGAAGCACTGGGAATCCAATCTGCAGCATACATGATCAGGGAGCTGGAGGAAATGGTATGAATCATCAGGCAAATTTTCATAACTCATGTAAAATGAGACAAAAGGTACTGAGGCATATTCTCACTTTTAGGTAATGTACTCAAGGAGCTCAGTGAGCCAGCAGGAGCCATAATTTACTGCAGTAGATTCACGGTAATTATCAAATGAGCACAACTGCAAACACACACATTCTGTTTTTTTCTCATTTAAGTCTTGTTGTTTTCTTCTTTTCTCTGACTCTGTTATGTAGAAAGGTGACCCCACACTGAGTGTACTGGAGCTCTGGGGAGCAGAGTATCAGGAGAGCAATGCCCTGCTGCTCCACCCATCAGACAGATCTTTCCTGGAGAGGGTGTGTCAGAGGGAGAAATGTCCCATTGACTTTGTGGGAACCATCACTGGAGATGGCAAGGCACGTTTCAGCCTAAGATCAAGTCAGTGATTGCACGTCCGCTGTCAATTGGCTTTAGTGATCAGGGGTTATTAGCTGGGTCCTATGGCAGGAAAATCTAAAGCATCACTGAAAACAGTTTCCATTGTATTTATGTTAATATCACTGCTTTTATAGATTGTGCTGGTGGATGATGAGGACAGTGGAAAGCAGTCAGACACAGAGCGTTGCCCTGTCGACCTGCACCTGGAATGGGTTCTGGGGAAGATGCCACAGAAGGAGTTTAAAATGGAGCGTCTGACCTCGACTCACCAGCCACTGGTTCTTCCTGCGGGCCTGACAGTGAGGGATGCTCTGGAAAGAGTTCTACGTTTGCCAGCTGTGGCGTCCAAACGCTACCTGACCAACAAGGTGTGTGTTTCGTTTCTGTCTCTTTAGAAGTGAGTTTGTTCAGACGGTTTGTGACTCTGCATGTTGTCACTCCCTCCCTCTTTCAGGTGGACCGGTCTGTCACTGGGTTGGTTGCCCAGCAACAGTGCGTCGGCCCTCTTCATACCCCATTGGCTGACGTGGCTGTTGTTGCTCTGTCACCCTTCAGCCTAGAGGGAGCAGCGACAGCCATCGGGGAGCAGCCAATTAAAGGCCTAGTCTGTCCTGCGGCGGGAGCTCGTATGGCTGTGGGAGAAGCTCTGACCAATTTGGTGTTTGCCAGAGTCACAGCT